TGGAGCATCATGGGATTCCAGAAGGGTGACCCAGACTTAGTTAGGGTTTACATTGGATATATCCTGCTTAGGAAGGCAGGGAGGTAGTGGTATGGCCACCCATGGTTTGCATGACTTGGCTTTCCAGGAAAGGTTTACTTGGTGAGGCTTCCTGTAGCTATTCCCTTCCAGACTTTGTGACTCCTGGATGCCAGTGCCTAGTCTAAGGGCTGGCATTTGATGAGCAATTGGTAAATATTTGTTGAATGAGTGGATTCGTCACAGAGGGGGAGACCTCATTGACAGTGAGGTGACAAGGAGTGGCTTCTAAGTCTAGTCACATTAGTGGATTTCCTACTGTAACCACAAGATAGAACTTCACGTAACAACCACCAACTTGGGTTTAGGTAAGTAGTTTTGGAAGTACGGCACGCTTCTCTAGGCATTTGTACCTGGAGTACTCAAGTTGAAAAGATTTTAATGAGTATGTTCTCATTTTTAGGTCTTCCACTTGTGAAATACCAGTTGGTTGTCTGTGCATGGCCTGTCCTGAAGGCCTATTTCTTGGCCCCAGACCCCACATGCATCCCCTACCCATCATCCTTCCATCCATACATCCGTCCATACATACATCCTTCCATACATACAATATATATATTCAGCCATCCATTCAGCCTTCCTTCCATACTTCCATAGATACATATATACAAACATACATCTTTCCATCTATCCATCCTTCCATCCATCCATCCATTCATCCATACATACATACATACATCCTTCCATTCACCCATCCACCCTTCCATTCACCCATCCACCCTTCCATTCACCCATCCACCCACCCATCCACCCATCCATCCACCCACCCACCCATCCACCCACCCATCCATCCACCCACCCACCCATCCATCCATCCATCCATACATACATACATCTATCCATCTATCCATCCATCCATCCATACATACATACATAAATACATCTACGCAGCAAACAGACATTTATGGAGTGCCTACTGTGTACCAACAAGATGCCGTGCTTTGGGGATGGTGGGAAGGGGGAGGTGGTGCTCAGATGACCACAGCTGGTCCTGCCCCGGGGAGTGATCAGTCTGAAGTCAGTAACACAGGAGCACAGGCAACTGCGGTTCAGTGTGATAAGTGTGCATGTGACAAAGGCATGTGTCTACTTCTGGGAACACAGAGGAGAGGCACTTACTGCCCTGGGTGGGGTGGGGGGAGGCTGCTGAAGGAGGGAATGTGTGAGCTTCTCAGGGCTGCCCCGGGGGCGGTGGGGGATGTCCTGACTGGGGGTGCTGGTGAGTCACGTTATCTGGAGCCTCCTCAGTGCGGGGAGTGAGTGGCCACTCTGCAGGCCTGGAGGAGTGAGAGATGGGGTTCACGTGCTGTGGCTCTGACCCTCCCGTCTTCCTCCCACCCCTAACCTACTAAGACCTCTGTTTCTTCTATTGCAGCCCTCGTAATTTTGCCAGGTTCCTTTTAGAGCTGGAAAGGGCCATGGGGAATTCTCTCTTCCAGCAGAAGAGACCAAAGAGTATACTTGGTGAGGGGAGCTGAGTGGGGGGAAGTGTTTATAAGTGAGTAAAAATGTTATTTCTTATTCACCAGACCCTCCGTCTGGCACCTCTAAGTCCAGCTGAGGGCCTGCCAGGAGAGGAGCCAGTCTGGCTTGCAAGAAGGCACTTGCCGCCCCTAGAAAGGTTCTCTTTCCAGCCTCCACCATGGACTCCTTCTAAATTAAGAGCTATTTTAGAAAGACATCAGAAAAGTAAGTTTTGGAATGACTTAGAAGCTCAGGCTAACCCATTCATTCACCATGTGCAGAACTGTGCCTTTTCGGTTTGTACTCTGTGTGTGTTAAAATTACATACTCGGATGGTGAGCCCTGCACCAAAGTAGAGAGCGGTAGGGAGCAGTCTGGGTACAGGGCCGCAACCGGTGGCACTGTCTGTTCAGGACGCCATATCTGATCGGCAGCTGCAGGGGAAGCCCAGGATGGCCGCCTGGATTGGGGGGAATTATGGATGGTTTCAGGTCACGGTTTGTGGTGCATCTGGGACTGGAGCCCAGGTCTCCTGCTCCCTCCCAACCCAGTTCTTTCTGCTACATCCTGCTGCTCCAGCTGCGCACCGACTAGTTTTGTCCCAAGGACACCTGCTAATGAATCGTTGGCGTCAGGCTAATAAGTGTTCCACAGGGCCAATAGTACCAGATCGTTAGAGTAAAAAATAGAAGATGGATTGTTTTAAGCAAGGTGGAAGCATGCCAGAACAGTGATTTTATATTATTTTTTTTTAATTGCGTTTGCTGTCGAACAACTGCCAAATCATCAGTGTGAAAACCTGGGCAGAAAACCATCCGCAGCGTCTCTACCCTAACACAGCTGTTTCAGTTTGTGCAGATTTCCTGTTTTTATCACGCAGCCCAGGAACAACGTGTGTGTATTTTTATGTAGTTGGAATCACAGCTTCTTCCTCCTTTCTGGTCTCCTGAGCTAACATAGTCCTAAGAATGTTCCTTCTTTCTATCTTCATAATTTTTTTTTAATAACGGCTGAACAGTCGTCTGGAGTTTGGTGGCCCTGGTTCAGTGTCCTTGTGATTGGAGACCGGTTGTGTCTCCATTCTGTACCCGCCTCCCCCCCCCCCCCCCATCTTATTTCTCCAAGAGAGCTGTAGGGAAGTCGCTCATATCAAGCTACCTGTTTCTGTCAGGTCATTGCCCCTTGAGGAGTGTCTCCAGGAAGGAGAAAGTCTGAAGGAAAAAGGCTGAATTCCAGTGGCTTTGATTTGATTTTTGTCTCAACTGTTTTGTTGTTGTGTTTTATATAACGCAATTACAGATAAGCACATAAAACAGGTGCAGGTTAATGAGTTACTAGAAGGCAGATGCCCCGCTACTGCCCCACCCAGGTCAAGAGCTGGAACTCTGACAGCCAGAAGTTCACCCCGTGTCTCTGCAGTCACGGTCCCCTCCTTGTGTCCCCTCCCAGGCACATCCCTTCCGGGCCCCAAGAGCAACCACTACCCTGACTTGATTGTAATCACTCCTTTACTCTCTTTCCAATTTTTATCACCCAAGTGTGCACCCCTGAACATTGCCATTTAGATATCTTTTCATCTGTAGGTGCTTCTCCAGCTCTTCTTTTTCATATGTTCTGTTTGTTGAAGAAGCTGGGTCATGTGTCCTGAGGCCTTTCTAGAATTTCCCACAGGCCGGGTATTGCTGGCTGCAGTTCTAGTGAGTTTAGAGCTAATTCCTCTGCATTTCCTGCCATTGGTAGTTGGACCTAGTGCTTGACTCAGTACTTGGCTCGGTTCCGCCCTGCCTCCCTCCCTCCTTGCAGTGAGAGAGGCAAGGGGAGCAAGATTGTGTGTTGGGGGGTGAGGTGTTCTTCATCAGAAGGTATGTAACGGCTGGCTGTCTCCCTTGGCGGTGCTAGTAGGCACTGGTGCCCAATGCTTAGAGCCTGCCATTCAGTCGAGGTTGCAAATGTGTGATATTGCAGTTCTTTTATTTCATCTTCCTTTATTGGGAATAAATGAAAAACTCTGCCCATCTGTTATGTTCAATGGCTTTATTGAGATTCATATATGATACAATTTACCTATCCAAAGTTTACAATCCAGTGGCACTTAGTATATTCTTAGAGTTGTGCATCTATTAACATGATCAATCTTAGAACCTTTCATTAACACCCCCCCCCCAAAAAAAAAACTTTACTCACCTTAATGGTTGCCCCACAAACCCTACAGCCCTAAACAACCACAGTCTTAATTTCTGTTGCTAGATTGACCTGTTCGGGACATTTCATGGACCATGTGGTCCTTCACAATGGGCTTCTCTCACTTAGTCTTCAAAGAGGTCCATCCATTCATGCTGTAGCACGTGTTGGAACTTCATTCCTTTTGATGGCAAAATACTATTCTGTCTTATGACCAAGGCCACCGTTTCTCCATCCATCAGTTAATGGACATTTGAGTTGCTTCCACTTTGGGGCTGTTATGAATCATGCTGCTATGAGGATTTTTGTACAAGCATCAGTGTGGACATCATGTTTTCATGTTTTTTGAATGTATATCTCGGAGTGGAATTGCTGAGTCAAATGGTAACTATGCTTAACTGTTTGCTTCCCAAAGTGGCTACACAGTGTGACTTGCCCATCAGCAGTACGTGAAGGTTCCAGTGTCTCCATTTGTCATGTCTGTTTGATTGTAACCATTCCAGTGAGTGGGAAGTGGCATCTGATGATGGTTTTGATTTGCATTTCCCTGATGACAGATGCTGTTGAGCACCTTCTCAGGAGCTTATTAGGCTTAAGGAGAATTATGTCTATATCTTTGCTCATTCTTTAGTTGGATGTTGCCTTTTTATTAATGAGTTGTAATAGTTCTTTATTCTAGATAGAAGCCCCTTGTCAGATACGGGGTTTACAAAATCTTTCTCCCAATCTGGGGTGTCTTTGTACTTCCCTGATGTCTCGGTGTCCTCTGAAGCACAAAAGTTTTACATTTTGATGATATCCAGTTTACTTTTTCCTTTGTTGCTTGTGCTTTTGGTGTCATATCTAAGAAACCATTGCCTAATCGCGGGTCACGGAGATGAGATCCTGAGAGTCTCATACTTTCAGCTCTTACATTCACGTATTCAACCCACTTGTGTGTGCCCTCACCTACTCTCTGATGACCCAGTGGTAGAGTTAAAGGTGGGATTAATGCCCGACTTTCCCCCCTTTACTTACCAGTTTTCACGATAAAGGGTTGGTTCTCTAATGTCCTGTGAAGTTGTTATTTGGTGGGTTTTTTTTTCTTTTTTGTCTTTGGGAGTGCTTAGCTTTAATCATGAGTTTATATTATATTAAAGCCAATTAAAAATTTAAAATCTTGCATAGTGTGACACATACATATATACAATATACAGAGAAAAGTGATTTAAAAAAATCTCTTGGTTTCTTACCTAGCTGTCACACTCTAAATTTTCATGTGCCCAATTGTCTTACAGAAACATGCCAAAGGCCAGGATTTGTTCGATCAGATCGTGTACCACTTGGACCTCGTGGAAACAGATTACTTTGGCCTCCAGTTCCTTGACTCCGCCCTAGTCGCGGTATGTATTCCTCTGATTCATTTTAGGACAGATTAGCTTTTCATTGCTAATCACAGAGCAACAGTTGCTAGAAGCCGGTAGAGAAACATAGGCATGAAACCGTGATATTGTTGCCATGACAAGCACTGGGCTGGTGGTAACGGTGCCTAAGTGAAAGGAGTCCAGGCTGCCCCGCCCCTGAGGTGGCCATCAACAGGGAGAAGAAGGGAGAAAGAACATGCGTGTTGTGCATGGGGCTGTGTTAGGGAAGCATTTCCAAGCACAGGGAGGGACGATGGATAGGCGCATTTCTAGAGAAGTTAGAAATCACACCCGGAATTCTTTCAGCGGGGCTGCTTTTATTTTTAACCATCAGAAGAGGCTGCACCACCATATTCTTGTGAAGACTTGCTGGGTGCGGACAGCAGGTGCCGTGAACACGGCTGAATCCCAGCCAGGCTTGGGGCTGGGCAGGGGGACCAGGTCTTGGCTTTGCTGGAAAACCATCTTGCAGGCTCCAGGAGGTTCTTAGGTCAGCAAAGACTTCCCTCACTTTGCTGGAGACAGAAGTGTTCACCGTGGCGATGCTGGAGTGAGTGAACTGGATGCAACTCAGGTTCCCTTGTTTAGAAAGCAGGACTGACTTCAGAGTCTCCCTCTCTAGCACAATCAGCTTTGGGTTTCAAAGGTAACTTATTCAGCAATCCAAAGGTATTTAGTGGGTGTCTCATAGGCACGGGCCCCATTCTAAGCTTTGTGGATAAAGCAGTACACGCATACATAATATGACAGGTAGGAATAAGCGTTAAGAACCGTAAAGCAGAGTAAGGGGATAAGCAGACAGAGTAAGGAGCTGTGCTGTTTTAGACAGTGTGTGAAGAGGTGGGTCCCTGGTAGGAGGCGTTAAAGCTGGAGGCCGGGAGCTCCTCATCCGTGGTAAAGCCTTTTTACCTGAGAGACATTTTTTTGATACTTCCCGGGAGCCCCACGCGACAGCCGTAGAGTGTAGATGCTCAAAATGGATGCCTGTGAGCTGGGTCTGTCTGCGGACGTTAGTGTGATGCTGAGAACGCAGATGATACATTGGAATCGGGACTTCAGTGCATCCTGGTTACAGTGCCTCCTGGGCAGACCCTCACTGTGCCTAAAGGGATGTCCCCACTGCACCTTCAAGATGTCCTGTCTGCTGGCACCTATCCCCTCGCTGCCGACTGTTGCCGTGAACACTCCAGCCACCTCTTTGAATTACCGCCCTGGTTCCTTCTCCATTTCGCAGCCACAGACTCTCACTCCGGGCCCACCGGGGTCCTGGGGAGGGGCAGGCCAGCCCTTCTCTTCCCACCTCCCTGCCCTATTCTGTTTCCTTGGAGGTGAGGTCACCCAATGCCATGCCCTCTGGCCTCAGCACTGTTCTCCGAATCCCTCAAGGCCTCTGGCAACCTCAGAATTCAAATTCTTGATGCTTCTAAATACTCTGGACACCGTTTTTCTCCTTGAAGCTTCATCTGACCAAACCTCTCCCAGATTCACGCTGCAAGCCCCGGAATTCTCTTTCCCTGTCCCGTGATAACTTCCCTTGGTCCTGTCTTTCCCATCCCTCTGCATCTGGCCTTGGCCCTCAGCGATCTCTTCCTGCCTCGTTCTCCCCTCTCCCAGCCTCCTTCTGCCCTTGCCTTCCTCTCGGCCTGGTGGAGTCTCAGCCATCTCACCTGTGTCCTTACTTGCCCTTTGATTCTACTGCCCCCACAAGTGTCCCTGGGCCTCCCCCTGGCACTCAGGCCCCTCCATTTCCTCCGCTGCTTCTCCCAGGCTGCCGAGCGTCACTGGAGAGTCACAGGCTGTGCCTGTTGGCACCAGCGCCGCAGATCACGGCTTTGGCAAAGTCCAAGCCCCAGGTTGCTTTTGGAGCCTTATTAGCTCCCAGTGGGCTCTTTTTTTGGGTAAAATCCTCACCCAAGGATACGTTTATTGATGAGAGGGTGGGGAGAGGGAGAAATGTCGACGTGAGAGAGAAACATCAGTAGGTTGCCTCCTGTACACATCCTGACTGGGGATCAAACTTGCAACCTTTCGGTGTACCGATGGTGCTCCAACCAACGGAGCCGCCTGGCCAGGGCACCTAATGGACATGCCCCACAGTTCCCCTTATGAGTCTTGACCACAGACATGTAATCCAGTCCCCACAAAGACTGTCCTCGAAGTTGGCCTTCCCTCCTTCTGAGAAGACCCAGATCATGTAGCTAAAACTCCGTGTTTTCTTTCCCTCAGACAAAACTGCCTTCTTGCCATATTGTCTTCAGGGAGTACACTTGCTTCTCCAGCGCTGACACCCCCCAGCTCCGTGGTCAGTTCCATTTCCAGCTGCTTCCTGAGTGCCAGAAGTAGCTTTCCTTTCTGTCCCCAGCACCTGACACTCGTCAGCCCTCCCCTTCCCTGACCCCCTTCTCCATCCTGCCTTCCCCTGTGTGTCTTAGCCTGTGTGGTACCTGTGTGGTATTTCTGACCTCAGCATGTCTGTGGCCCTGGGCCAGGAGTCAGACCTGATCCTCGTTCCTGGCTCTGCGCCCATCTCAGTTGGTGGACTTTAGATGAGCCACCTGTTCTTCCTTGGTCTCAGTTTCCTCATCTATAAAATGGGCTTCTTGGACCTATTCTCCCAGAGCTCTTCCAGTTCTAATGTTCAGTGATGCTGAGTCTAAAGAGGAGGCAGCCATGTCTGCCCACACACCTCTTCTAGTTGGAAGGGAGAAGATCTCTGTCATTTCTGCCATTAGAGCCACGTGCCTGTTGCCCTAGTGGCATGTCCTTGTATCCAGATAAGCCTTCTCTGGCCACTCAGATTCCCAGAAAGCCAAGGATGTGACTGCATTGAAAGACTTGACTGTGAACCTCTGCTCCCTGGGCTGCCAGCTGTCCCGCCTGCCGGTGCCCTGTCCCTGAGCAGCAGGACATGTGCTCACAGCGGGCTGCAGGCTTCCTTCCCGGGCCAGACACCTGCAAGTGTGCACACTCTGCAGGCTCTGGTGCCTTTCCAGGACCTAGCTCTGTGATGCACTTTTCTTCCCCACGAAAGCAGATGCAGGGTCCTCATTCATCTGAGTCTGGACCCAGGAGAGTTGCTGTAGCAGCAGCAGCAGCAGCAGCAGCAGCAGCAGCAGCAGCAGCAGCAGCAGCAGCCTGGCCCTTCTGCTCATCGGTGGGATTTCTGAGCTGGGCTCAGGTCATGCCCGCACTTACTGCTGTGCCTCCGCTGGTGCCGATCCCTCACCTAGAATGCTCTTTCTCACCCCCTTTCAACTCCTGGCCACCCTTCAAGACCACATCAGGTGACACTTCGTCACAGAATACATCGTGAGCTCTCGCAGCATTTTCCAGCTCTGCATAAACCTCTGAGCTTATTTTGCCTTCTGTGACAGCCTGCTCGTTTGGCCTCGGGTTCACTATTTGTGTATATAAACAAAACCTTTCTGATTAGGCCCTAAGACTTTGTACTTCCCCTTTTTAAGTCGGTGGCTCTTGGTGACAAGGCACACACACCTGGGAACCTTAGTCATTAGCCCCAGGAAGGACCTAAGGAGCCATCTGTCCAGTATTTCCATCTCGATGGTGAACCCCAAAGCTTGGACTGCGGCGAGTCAGTGAGCAGCAGAGCCTGACTCAAGGCCTGTGTTCGCAGGTTCAGGTTTAAGTGTTCTTTATAGTTCCCTGCGCTGTTGAGCCTCAGTCTTCGTCATTGTGCAGTGGAGGTGGTGACATCCATTTCGCAGGGAAGTTGAGGGGCTTAGTGAGTTATGGGAGCAGAAAGGACTTCATAGCCTGACATGGGCGGGGATCTCCTCTTCCGAGCCAGACATTCTGAAGGGGGACCAGCAGTTGCCGCAGCCCCTGGCCGTGGCACGCTGAGGTTAGCCGGAACCTACCAGGCCGTCTTGCCAGTGGGAGACACCTTACCAATTCAGACAAGAGCCTTTCAGCTTCTGAGGTGTCACTGATTTTTCGGAGAACCTGGAACAATGCTGGTACTGGCAGGTGTATTTCTGGAGAGACTGGGTAGTAGATGGGGGTCTGGGGGGAACAAGCAGTCCACTTGTCTATTGGCTTATCACTCCATAATTGAAGCTCTCGCAAGTACTGACACCCCCACCCAGCCCCTGATGTGCCAGTCAGTCTGGCCCAGGCAGGGCCCTAGGCACAGCTCTCTCCCTAAGTAACCAGCCTCCATCCCAGCTCCCTGCGAAGAGCCAGGCCTGGTTTCCATAGAGCCCTGCCCAGCCCTGAAGCAAGGTCAGAGTCTGCTGGCATCTCCTATTTTTAGCAGTTGGGACTGGGGCCTCCTGTTCCGCATCAAAGCGGGAAGGCCACCTGGGAACCCTCTGTGCTGAGCTCACTTCTGCACAACTCCAGGCAGGGCAGGGGTTTGAATTTTACATAGCAGAGCCCTCGTGCTGAGAGCCGGCTCTGCCTGCCCCCCCCCCCAGCTTTCTCCCTGCCTGGTGGGGTAGCTGCTGTTCACTGATTTCTTCCCCCTCCCTCCTTGGCATCTAACTAAAGGCTTTAGGTTACTCAGGTCTAACACTCACGGCTGATCTGTGAAGCGACCAGGGGACAGGCCCATTTTACAAATGATGAAGCTGAGGCTCAGAGACATCGGGAGCCTTGTGGAAGTCAGGGGACGGAGGTAGCATTCAGTGCCTGGCCTCGTTCCAAAGCCCAGCACTTTGCACTGTGGGCTCTACTGGTTGCATTACACATGGTGAACACACACACACAGCACACCACCCCTCATCCCCCGGAAGAGAACATTTGGTCAGTAGCCGGTCAGCAAACTTTGACTTGGAGCTTACTCAGTGCTGGGCTCTGTGGTGCAGAAGCAAGCTGGATGCTGTCCCTGCCTGCTGCATTCGGGTGACGGACCCAGACACCTGATCCCTGAAGTTGAGTGGGTACAGTCCTCCACTTGGGGAGCCTGGAGGACAAAGCCTAAGTGTGAAGAGTCAGGTGGCCACGGTGTCCCGGGGGGAGGGTGAACATGGGGTGGGCCCCAGAGGCTGCGGGAGTGCCAGGCGGAGGGGCAGCGGGGATCTGGGGCAGGGAAAACAACCTCCTCCCCATCCCTGGGGCGGGTACACTCGGGGGGTGGGTGTCAGCCCCGCCCCATGTGAAAAGGGAACATTTTTTGTTTTTTACGGTGATGTGTTTTACAGCAGAGAATGCAGAAAAGGCGATGTTGGCCTTTCTCTCGAGCCCTGGGCGCTGTTTCCCCCCTGGTCTTTGCAGCGTGGAATTGGGTAGATGGGGGATTAGAGGCCCGGGGCTGGGAGAGAAGGATGACAACCGTGGGAAGGGCCGAGTGCCCGCCTCAGGAGCTGCTGCAGCTCCACTCTGATGGCTGTCTGGAGAGTCTTCGCATTTGCCACTTGTGTGGACAGTCCTGGGCAGTACTTCAGATGTACCTGGAAGGGAAGTGAGAGAGTATAAACACTAATAGCAGATACGTCACTGCAAAACTTTTAAAACCTTCCTTCCATTTGAATGGTTCGTTATTGTTTCCATGGACACTCAGCTGATTCAGCAGACAGTGTGCCAGGGGCTAGCTCAGTGCACAGGTGAGGAGACTGAGCCTGCGGCGGGGCTCCTTGCGGGTGTACCTGGTGAGCGGCAGGACTGGGGTCTGAAATCTGATCTGCTGCCTCCTTCCATTTTAGTACCCATGAAGGTGAGATAGCGTAAGAAATGCCTCTGGCCTCCCAGCAGCCTGTTTCTGAGGGCTGGCAGGGCGAGTCTTTTCCTGCCCATGTGCAAATATTGGTACTGAGCACGAAGCTATTGATAATGGGGGCTCTGCAGTTGGTTTAGACCTGTCCCCAAGGAAACCTCAAGTAGCTGGTGTCGATGGTGAGAAGGAGGAGGGACGCCTCCCGTGGCAGGGAAGGCACTCCAACCGGTGTGTGGTGTGGAAGCCCAGAGCGCTGGCAGCAACATAGCCAGAGTTAGACTGGCTCCTCCTCCTCTTTCCTCTCCCCCTCATAGCACTGTGATCCTGGGCACCTCATGTGCCTTCCCCTGTCCTGCTCATGACCACCTTCATCCACTCTGAGCCCTAAGAAAGTAGGGGATGTGATATGGTCCAGTGTGTATTTTTTCTGACCCCACCAAACAGTTCATTCTGATGCTCTGCCTGGAGATAACAGCTTCAGGTCCCAGAGGTCAACAGCTCAGTCGCACAAGGTACCCCCCCCCCACCAAGGCTCACACACATCTCAGGGGCCAATCACAAGATCATAGGCAGTGACATTCTGCAACCAGCCTCGCATATGCAGTGGTTCCAGAGCTTCTTTGTACTGTGAGCGCAGATGGGCTTTGCCAGGTCATCTCACATCATGGTTTGTGGGAAGCATCTTGCCAGGTGGACTTGGATGAGAAGTTCAGATCAGAAACCCCCTTTCTAACACCTATTAGAGGGTTTGAGAGAAATGCCTTGCCCTTTGAACTCAGAAGTGCACCTGTGTGTTTCCAGGGATTGCTTTAATGGTCAGTTAAGAGGGCTGGGGCCAGTCGCGGTGGCCTTTGCTGACAGGCGGCCTGGCTGTGTTTAGGCAGGATGCAGGTGGACATCTGAGACAAGTCCTGCTGCTGCAGGCCTCCGAACCAAACCCAGGGATACGATTCACTAAACACCACGCGAGGCCTCTGTGCCTGGCTGTCCGACACAAGGTGGTTTTGTTGGATGAAATGCATGTAGGCGATCAGAGTCTGGGCAGCCCGTGCAGCTAAGAAGAAAGTCGAGTCATTTTGAACTGGTTGGATACAACCCAGGTTTTATCATCTCTCATTTGAGGATGGTGACTGGGTTTCTTAGCGACTCTCATGCAGGCAGGCAAACCTGATCTGCACACCATGGGGTCAGGAGCTTTTAAAAGGGAGCTGTTTCTGATTTCTTTCCCAGCTTAGCAAGCCCCAGATTTTTCACAGGCCTCCATCCTGGCAGGTCCTGCTCCGGGCAGGGCTCCAGGCCGTTGCTGGGCAGGAAGGAAAGGGAGCTCCTTAGCAGTGTGGCCAGAGGGAAAGCAGCCTACTATCCGGTGGAAAGAAGCATCTAGCCATGATCTGTTTGTACGTTAACACTGGGGGTGGACATTTGGCCGGTAAACTGCAAAATCGAGATTTTACAGAGCTCAAAGAGAAATTTTCAGAAGGGGTTGTGGATGTTTCGAGATCCCCACTATCATTAGGACACATTTCCTGGGTTGGAGACAGTGTGGGAAATCTTCAGCACTGAATGTTTTTAAGGGGCACACTGGGCACCGTTAAAAAACACTCATGCTCAGAGATTCTGTCTTGGGTGGGACCTGGGTATATTCATGACGTGATGTCCGGCCAAGGGTTGGAAGTCACAGCTAAGGAAACAGCACAGGTTGGACTTGGATCCAGACTGGAGTCTGATAATAGGTGGAGAGGAATAGTGGTTTTAAGCTTGTTCTATCCGAAATATGATAAGGAGACTTGAGGCAGGAAGACACGGGACAAGCTCTTTAAACTGTGAGACTCTGGGCCTGGTAAGCTCCAAAGGCTGGTTGCAGGGAGGACGTTCTTTGCCAGGTAATGGGGAATTCTGTTGAAAGTGGGAAGAACAAGTTTAGTCACAGCCGTTAGCATGACCCCTACTGTGACAGGGAAGTAAATATTACACCACTTGAGTCCTCAAGTCTTTATCTGTTCTCCTCCTAGGAGGTAAGGTCCAGGGTTCTCCTTTGCTGCTTGAGAGCAGCAATGAGACCTGATTGCCCTGATAGGCAAACAACGAATGAACGAATAACAAAATACCAACCCAGCCCCGCCCCCCCCCCCCCCGTGGAAGTAATATTCTCGGTAAAAGTAGAAAAATCAGGCATCCAAGTCAAAAAGAAAAGAGTAAACAGTATTCACGGCCCTGTATCCAAAATAACCCCTCAAAATCTTTCTGGACCTACCTGGATGGAAAGTATTCCTTTTTGCATCCATGGATTCTTCCTGGTTGTTTTCTTCTGATGTGGTGCTGTGCACCTCTTGCCACGTCAATAAATGCAGGCCCCCATCCGTTTCAAAGGCTGAATAGTAGTTTATTATACGGATGAGCCATTTTTTTCAAATCCATCTTTGTTGGTGGGCATTTAGGTCATTTCCAATTCAAAGCCATTAACAATGAGAGAACGCATCCTGTGCGTGTGCCTTTGAGATGCGCATCTGGCTCCGGGGATCTGCTTCCTCTATGACAGGCGGCTGCTCTGGGAGCGGAGACGACAGAAGCCCACGTTCTCCCATTGTGCTGCTTGCCGTGTATTGTATTATAATTCATCTGCGGTTTGCTTTGCTGTTTCCTTGTCCCGCTCCTCCCACACAGTCACGAGGGGCCGTCGGTGAGCGGGAGAGTACACTGTACTCGGTTATCCCGTCCTTCTTCACTGTCAGCATGTGCTGAGTTGCAATCGCCTCGGAAGGTATATTGACAGGCAGCCGAATGGCCTCTGACCCCGAACAGTGAGTGAGAAGCCCAGTCCGGCTGTCATTCCAGCCGTTACTCGAACAGTGACATTTCACCGCGCAGCCAGTTTCCAGAAAGCGGTGGGGAAACTTTGCCACGCTGTGTGCTTGGCGCAGGAAACGCAGAAGTGATCATGGGAACTGACGGCCCGGAACGGTGTACAGTGTTATCCTCCCCAGTGTCCTTTTCTGCACGGAAGTTGAGCTTTCAAGGCTCTTCAGGACTGTGGCGTCAACCACTTTGACATACCAGAAAACATTTATGGGGGGGTGGTTTTGTCATTTCCTGGGATGGATCAGGCTGACGTGGTCGTTCTGGTAAAAAACAAGAAGAAGTTGAATTGCTCTCAATGCCAGAGCCGAAATGTCTCAGGCAAGTCCCTGCTGGCCTTTCCATCTTCAACTGTGGGTCATTTTCCTGGCAGAAGATACAGGGGTCACAGGCGGTGGTTTTATAGTTTTAGAGTTTAGGGCGACAGAACCACAAGACCAGCGTGTGGTGAGAGGGTCTCAGAAATGCAGCGTGTAATCTTTACTAGCTTAGTGGAAACTTGGGCTAATTAGGGAAGATGGGCTGTGACTTGAGGAACTCGAAAGGAAGAGGCAGTTGGCTGCACTGACTTCACAGATCAGTTAGGTAAAGGGTTTTACGTCCTTTCGGGCTCCTCTTTGAAAAGCTCGTGGAAGCTGTGGGCGCCATCCCCCAGAAAAAAACATACCCTGTGCACAAGCACAGACTTTAATACCATCCGGGTCAGTTTGCAGATGCCCAGCCTGAGAGCTTGTGACCCGGTCCAGTCTCTGGTTTGGATGGGCGGAATTACTACAGTTTGCAGGGAAGGTTGACTCTGAGGGCTGTGCGCGCTTGCTGATGCACTCTATTCCTAAAGAAACGTTTTTCTTTCCTTTCAGCACTGGCTGGACCATTCCAAACCCATAAAAAAGCAGATGAAAAGTAAGTAAGCAGAATTTAGCCAACTCATGTATTTCTCTTATCGGAAAGTAAATGCCTTTGCCAGTGTTTTGAGGTGTTCCGTTTTCATTAGAACTTGGGAGCCTTATTAAAATAGATTCAATTTTTAAGTGGGTGATTTTTAATGTCTCAAGGCTGGCCAAGTGTTGGTGTTTAAAACTCGAAGCACTTTCAGTAGATATTAAAAAACACACTGTGCTCCCATTTGCAGCCAGACACCCCTGCCAATGAGGACTGATTAATCTGCTGTTCAGCAACAGGACTTTACTGCTTGAGCATGGTCCTTTCCGATGAGTAATTAAGTAGACTCAGAGCATGGGGGGGCGGGGAGGGCAGGAGTCACCTGTGAGAGCAGGTGATGCGTGTCTGGGTGATGCTTTTCAGATTTAATACTTGCAGGTACGTTTCCTGTTGATTCGGGTTACAGAACTCTTGGCTGTGTTACTTTCCTTCAGCCCGCTTAGTATTTTGTAAAAAGTTAGTATCCCTTTGGAGCATCAGGGCGATGAGGGGTGAAAGCAAAAGGTCAGCTCTCAGTAATGCATCTCGCTGGAGCTGTGTTTCCTCCAGAGTGAGGTGCCTCGCGAAGTCGCCTTTGCCGACAGAATTCTTTTCAGTTTTCCCAACAAGTACTGGAAAGAGCTCACTAGCACTGCTGTGCCCTTCCTGTGTACCAGCGACTGTGTTAATAGAGTTCATGTGTTTTTCCTTTTGTCCCTTCCGTGAATCTTCCAAACCGGGGGAAAACCTCTTCAACCTTCCATCGCCAAAGGTTCCGTTGGGCCTGCTTATGCTTTGCACTTTCGAGTTAAATATTATTCTTCAGAACCGAACAACCTTCGTGAAGAGTTTACAAGGTAGGACACAATGCAGAACAAGACCCGCCCCCCCACCATCCTCCCAGCCCCACGTAGCACTTGCCTCACTTATCATTTATGGGTGTTTCTAAACCGTGGGTTTGCCTCCCCCTCTCACTGCTGCCTTTACATTTTGAGCAAAACTTCTTAGCACTTTGCCTGTGCTTATCTCTGTATTTTGTTGAAAAAGCCACACTTTGCTTAATTTGACCCTTTTCTTAGTGAATCAAAATGAAAAGACGTATTTTCTCATCACATTTCTGTTTGGTTGGATCTTGGGTAGTTTGGTTCGTTCTGTGGGACTTTATTTTTGTGTCAGATTAGAAAAGAGAAGGCAGGTATTGGAAGATCATTTCTCAGTCCAAACTTGCCATCTCATTTTTTTTTAAGGGACTGCAAAATCTTCTCTCACTCGTTACAGTATCACTGTTGTTATACTCTATATGTTACCTTCCCAGCCCCCCTGAATTTCCTTTATGGTGTGCCTGCCTCTGTCAGACGAGAAACGGTGTTGAAGCAGCAGAGGCCTCAAAAACATGGGAAGTGTGGGGTTTTCTTCCAGCTACCCGTTTATCAGTGAGATTCTCTCCCCAGTCCTGCGTGACATCCTCAGAACCTCCTCGTCATTGTCTGTGTGACGGACAGTAGAGGTGCCATGTAAGCTGCTGGGCACGCCACGGTATTGACCGCTAGCTTGGAGATGACCCCCAAATAACACTTAACGACCGCTTATCACCTTCATCTCCATACCACCACCAAGAGGCCCGTGGGGCTCCTGTATAGTTAGGTTTTCCTATAGGAATTGGAAGTTCTGGCCACGTCACAGTGTATCCTCCTTGACGGGAGTACTCAGTTCAGTGGTGGTTAAACACCTGTCGCAGGTGGGAGCATTCTGGAATGTACCAGAGCCTTCAGACCCACTGATGGTTTCTGGGTCACCCACGTTGTCCTATATCCATTCCACAGAGAATGACTATCTGCATTGCTTTCAAAGTTCAAACAAATTAAATTCTTCTAGTATTTTTTCCCAGAATCCTTCTAGCTATCATCAAAGGCAGTGATTCTCAACCAGGGTTGTGTGAATGGAAACACCTGGGAAACTTTTGAACCAATCAGATTCCTGGGGACCACTCTTGCGTGTGGGATTCTGAGTCCCCAGGTATGGAGCGGGGAGTGTGGGCAGCTTTTTGTTCTTTTCATGCACTCGGAAGTGGTTCCCATGCCCACATCCATCTGGTAAAAAACAAACAAACCAACAAAACACTTCCTTAAGCCAAGACACATTTTTTTTACTTAAGTGGACCCCACCTGTGTTATTTGCTGCCTTCTTCCCCATTTTTTCTTACCCCTGTGACCAGCAGCTACAGTGAAGCTCCAGGATTCCCATTTTGTGTGTGCAATTTTTCAGAAGACAGAGTCCACAGTTAAACTGCAATAGGAAAAAATTGGGGGCAGTTGCTTACTACCGTCAGCTGTCAGATGCAACCTTTCTGAACTCCCTGGTGGGGCCGGCTGAGGGTCTCATGCCGTGGCTCCACCTGCCCGTTTGATTGGACAGGTCTCAGTCGTGCGCACGCCCTGCGTGCAGCGTTTGGCTCTCTTCTGGGACACCAAGCGGCTGTGGAGTCTGTCATTGGACTCTGCCATGTTCCACGTTGCATCTCCAAGTATCTTGCGAGTTCCGTACATGCACTCCGCTTCCTAGCTAGGGTCAGGGTGCCTTCCCGGAGACTCAGGAGAAGATGCTTCCACCACCATTCTCGTCTGAGCTGTACTCTCTTCTTACAATGCAGAATCCCAGGCTGCGCACAGGGTGGGATTTATGAGGGGCAGTTAGGATCGGAAGTGGCTGGGAAAGACTGACCCTCTGTTGACTTTTGTATGTGTTTGTCAGGTACCTGTTTGTTTTACAACTCAGGCATGACATTCTTTCAGGAAAGTAAGTACGTTTTTGTTTTAATTCTTAAACCCACAACAGATAATAGTGTATTTCTAAATAATTCACTGTTTTGTTTTTTAACTCTCTTACCCTTGTTCCTTTTTCAAAATTCAAAAAAAGTACACCAGGCATTGTAAAGTGAGTCTAATACTTGTATCACTGTCATCATCTTATTTTAAGTGATTACTCTATGGCTTGAAGCATTTCCAAGAGCATTTAATATCTTAAGTGATGTGTATTTGGGAATAATTCTCTCCCTGATCACATCACTGGCCCATTCATAATGGCTTTTGTCGTATTTGCAAGCAAGATGCGTTATTAGTATGTATACACTTACAAGTATTTGGACAGTCAAAAAGTCTCATTCATCGCCATTTGCATTAAATAATGGAAAGAGGTAATGTTCTGATTCTGATAGGAAGAGGTTTAGACATCTCATCTCATTTCCTTGGCCCCTCTTAAAAGTGGTTTTTAAATACTAGGCCTCTGGCCACCCAGTGAATGTTGGAGAAAGGAGCATTGGCCCTGAAATGGTGAATCTGACATGCAATATTGATTTATTCTGAAGGTACAAGATTTTTAGTCAGAGCTTCTACAGTTGTGTTATTTTTCAGCATGTGTACTGACTATTTTCTGTTACTTGAAAAATGAAGACTATACTCAATCTGAAAAGCAATACGTGATACTGACCAGAATCCATTTTTATTTTGAATCTCATCTGAAGGAAATTTAAAATGGGATTTCCGAATTTGCAAACTCTTCCATAGACTACGTGCAATTATAATCTGAGTGGAATGTACACTATAGAACAAGTAGATTGTACAGTGTATACATTTGCCTTATCCAGCCATGCAATACAGATCTTTGATTGACGTGTGTATTATGAGTATGTGTGTATTTTTTTCTCCCTCCCCCTTCTACCATACTGTGCTCCTCATACTAAAGGCCTCTTAACTCTAGTAAATGTCCTCAGTTTGGAAAAATATTAATGGCGACGTCTTGCATTTGTATAGTGCTTTGCAGTTTCCATGCCCTTCAGCCCGATTTACTGTACTTCAAAGCAGAATGATGCTCTGGTCCCAGCACTGCCTCCTACCAGCTAGATGGCCTTGGGCAAGTTGCAGGACACTCAGTTCCTCACGTCTGAAGCGGGGAGGAGAGCACTGTCAACCCCCGTGATACAGTCTACAAACTCCATGCATTGACCAAATTGGACCATATAGATGACAAGGCTTTGAAAACTGTGAAGTGCTAGACCAATGTACGCCATTATTATTTTTCTAACCAAGTTTGTAATATTAAATACGAACGAGATCCTGATTTGCGGTAGTAAATACACTGCTGTGGCTCTGCCTCAGTTACACAAGCATATCCAGCTGTCCTGGCAGGGTTAGATATTGTGTCTGTTTATTTTTAATATTACAGTCTTGTCTCAGAGACATAAGGCAGCTCGGAAAGGTGCATCATGTACTGTGTCAAGATAAAATAAGCTTTAGACTAATAAGTCAAAGGGAAGGCTTTTCATTCTGTTTCCCAAGCTTCCCCATTTTTGTGAAATTCACTCCAATTGCCCACAGGTTTGAAAGAACCTATACCTAGATCGGGTTATTTTACCGTATGATAACTGACTTTGGGAAATATGGGGAGTTAAGGTCTGCTAGTTTGCATTCCTTAACGTGGATAGCAAACATAGAAACCACAGAGAACAAAAATCACCTAAAGATTACTACCTTTGGACAATAATGACATTTTGCATGGTTATGAGTATTTAAGTTCCTATATAGAATTAATTTCTTTTCTTTCTTTTCTTTTCTTTTTTTTTGCCAAGATTGAAATGCCCATACGAAACAGCTGTGGAATTAGCTGCTCTCTGTCTACAAGGTACATTGTTCTTTAGCGGTCGTTAGTATTTTAAGGTTCTTGCTTTCATTTCTGCAAATGAGTGTCTGCTGTATACCAGGCCCAGCACTCTACTCTGGGGGTACAAATGAACGCGCCATGGTCTCCATCCTCAAGTAGCTGCGGTCCCGTGAGGACCATCTGTCAGGACCATGTGCTGTGTACGCACGGAGTGCAGTGGGGTGCCTCTGGGAGCACAGACCTGGGAGGTGTGAGAGGGGAGGGCCCGTCAGGGGTTTAGGAAGTGAACGTGGTCAGAGGAGCCAAGGCACGGACAGAAACAATGTGTGCGGAGAGGTAGCAGCAGCTGAGTGGTGCCGGAGGATGACGTTGGAGAAACTGGGTAAGTGGGTGGCTCTGGACCCCTTGAAAGAGAGTGAATAGCATGCCGTCAGCAATGGGGCCTTTGAAGGCTATTAAGAGGGCGGCAGGCCTGATTAGAAGTGCCTTTTATTACGTTGGGAGGCCTAAGTGAGGACATGTGTATAAAACTCTGGTATTATAATCATATTCCTATCCCCTGATTTTGATTTTTTTGCTCATTTGCCAAATATGACTTCTTGGATAGCTCTGGCTTACACTTTTGACTGACTCATGTCTGTGTGCTTGTGACTAGGGGTTAGAGGAGGACCAAGCCCCGGGCTGGGGTTGCAGTGAGGAGGTGTTGCTGTGATAAAAGATTAAACTGATCAGGGCTGGGGGTTCAGTACACACACACACACACACCAAAACAAATACAAAAAACAGCACTGGTAATGCAAGAAGGACCTGGTCAACAGACTTAGGTGTTGAGAGAGGAGTCAGAGATGACACATAGGCTGCCACCAAAGTTAGGGGACAGAATGGTTGGAAGAAGAATTGGGCTTCGGTGGAGGAGATGCCAGAGGAGAGTCACTTGGCTGAGAGGTGCCAGTGGAACCCCCAAGAGCTTCTTAAGGATACAAACCCAACTCCATGGGAAGCATCGAGAGGGGAGTTGTCGGCCTGTGGGTGGGAAGTGGATAGTAAGGGGTTTGCCCACATGACCACCCGTGTTGACTGTTCCATCCATGTGATGCTCTGGCGGCCCTTCCAAGTGCACAAGGAACACTTGCCAAAGTCTGGAGCACTAATTAAGAGGATCCTCATGTGCCACCGCACAGAACGAAGTTCATCAGCACATCAGACAGACACATGCTGTGGGCCCGCTTGCTCATGTGCTCTCGGGCTTCTGTGGAATAATGAATTATTCGTTCATAATTACTGATTATTTGGGGGGCACCGTAATAAGATTTGGCATCTCACTTTTTTGTATTTACCCATTTCTGAACGTTGATCTGAGTCTTTAAGGTATGAAGTCAGCACATGCTTGCTATAGAAAACCAGGACCACGGCATACAGCAGACACGCAGAAGGCAGGCGGCAGCCCTCCGTCCTGCCAGCCACAGACAGCCAGCAACTCTGGCTGCGAGTTTTGAGTGGAGTTGGAAAAAGGAGTTCTGTTCAGAGTCATATATAAAATTTTTGTGTGCTTTTCTACTTGGCGTTTTTGGGGCAGGTATTTTGTCATGTTTATACCCATAAAGGCAGTTCTTAACGACTTCAGGTCATTCCCATTCCTTAGCTTTCTTATTCTCTAACGGGTACTTGGCATATGGTAGGTGCTCAGTGAGTGCAGAATGAATTGAGTAAAGCTGAAGAGGCCCCAAGGACTGTAGTTGCAGGGGGAGCCTGTCCCTGAGGTCTGAAGGTGTTGGTGGTGGAAGTGACAATACTGTCCCCTGTAACTGATCTGCCAAGTGCAGTGCTAAGTGCGTCCCATCCATATATTCCTAATACAACTGTCCTTATGGTAAGTGCCATGAGGATGTGTAATGGCTGGGGGAACGTGGAAATGGACTGTCTACTTTCACCAGGTACACGTTGCTCCAGCTCATCAGGGAGCATCCACCCTTGAGTTTCTGAGTTGCCAGGAGGTCGTACCATTGGGCTTGGTGGCCCAGCAGTGGATGTCAGGGTATAGTTATTGGGATAAAAGCATCGCGTCAGACCTGGGGCCCCCAGTCCCCTGGAGAGGTTTCTTCCTCCAGTAGAACTATGTATGCCTTGCCCCAGAACCAGTGCAGACGAGAATATCAGCTATCTGCAAGCCCTTCTTGAAGAAATTGCCCATTTGAGTGGAAACAACATCAGTGTGATTTAAGACACATTCATCATATCAGGTACAAATAAAAAGGCCGAAGACAGGCTAATGTCTACGGCAAGTTCTTGTTCCACTGTCCCCCTGCCCCCCTTTCCCTGTTCCATCAGTTAAAAGCATTAGCCTGCTTTTCAGTTCAGCCATAGCGAGCCAGCTTTCCTCAGATGGAAAGATCCCTAGAGCATCTCTGTGGATTTGAATAACATGAAAGGTGGTGTTTCTTCCCATGTTAAGTTGTCCTTGAGGAGTGATGCTTTCAGAGTTAGGATGTGCTGGCCCTGCTGCCCAGAGACTGTGCTCTTTGGGGAACTAAATGTACAGTAGATTTGAAATTTAATGCAGGTGAGAAAGGAAAACAAGGGAGGAAGGAGAATGGGACCACCGTTTGTTGTGTGCCCGTGATCTCGTTTCATCCTTGTAACAGTTCCTGTTTCATCAGAGACCCCGGAGAGGTTAAGTGACTTGCCCGGATTTCACAGCAGAGACAGAGTTCACACCCTCCTGTGTCGGGGCTGTTTCTGCCACCCTCCACGGCTGGGACCGCGGTGGCTACAGAGGTCGCAGACTGAGTGCAGTGTCAGGTTTTGCCGGCAGGTCCGTGGAAGGCAGGCATGCTTTCGCAAAGCAGGTCTCCCTCAGGCTTGTTTTAGTCCAGTCATAAGAGGAGGGACACCAGCCCCCTCACCAGGTCTCAGGGAAACCTTGTCATTGTCTGGCCTTTCCCAGTGCTTAATGGCATGGTTTGGTGGACTTGTCCAGACACAACACCAAACACAGGACTTTGTTGTCTCACTTTGATCCAAGGGAAGGGCGGTTCATATCAAGGCGATCTCGTCCCAGACTGCCCCTCTGCGCTTGCCAGGTCCCTAGTTTCAGGGTGACCTGTTAGTCAGAGATCACTAGTGTCCTCTCACCTTGGAAGCCCAGGCCTCACCTTCTCTGGGCAAGTATTTCCAGATCAGTCTTCATTAGTGGCTTTGCCCAAGGTGCCAAGCAGCCGCACACCCTGACCCAGTCCACCTGGTGGTCTTCGGGGGGCCATTCACTTCCGAGTTGCAGGTGAGGGGCTGCACTCAGGTGAGGAGACATTGACCAGGTCCCTGCCCGTTGGACAGGGTCCCACCACTCTCCGAGTCTGTGTCAGTGCTGCCACCGTGTATCAGGGAAGTTTTGTCCACTTCTGCAAGCCAGCCGGGGTGCTCAGCAGCCCATGCCAGGCCTGGTGTGGCCCACATGGTGTGATGGCCAGGGCTGCTGGGTACAGAGGGAGGCGTTGTCAGTGAAGGTACTCAGGCATATGTGCCGGCTGGCCATTGGATGAAATTTGCTGTGTTAAGCGGTGGTTCTCAAAGTATGTTCCCTGAGTCGGCCACAGCAGCGTCTCCTGGGAGCTTGCTCGAAATGCAAACTCTGAGGCTTTATTCCAGACCCCGGGAATGGGGTCTAGCGCTGTGTGCTGTCACCAGCCCCCCAGGCAACCTGGTGCATGCTCACGCTTGAAAACCACTGTTGTAGATCAGTGCTTTTCAAAGTAACAAGTGCCCCAACCGCCTGGGCATTGTAAGAAAAGGCAGGTTTTGCTTCAGTAGGTCTGAGGTGGAGCCCAAGATTCTGCATTGTAAGAAGGCTCCCAGGTGATGCTACTGGTTCTGGTCAGGCAGGGTGGGGGGCAATGACCACCGTTTTGCAGCAAGGTAGTAGAGGAGCCCCTGGAGGGTTCCTTTTTCATCTGAGGTCCGCTTCCTGAGCTGCAGAGGTGCAGTGTTTAGGGTGGGGGTGGGTTTTCCTGTTCGTGTCTTGGAGGAATGGGGGCCCCTGGGTCCTCAGGTCCTCCATTCTGCAGGAGTACTTGGTGAGAGCAAGGACCTGGCAGTACGCTTTGGTCTTTTTGCAGGGATTGCCCCCGTGGCTGCCCCTCCTCTGCATGACCAGCTTTCTCTCAGTCTTCCATTCCCCCTGAGTTGCGGCAGCCGCTCCTGCAGCCCTCGTTCTTACCCCCTCCTCCCTCACTCCCTCCTTCTCCCTCCCAGCGTATCTGTCTCCTGGATTCTGCATGTACTGAATTCTTGATTGGTCCTCTCCAGCACTGCAGACCCTGGAGTGCTGCTCAGACCCACCTACTTAAGGAGAGCTTTGTTAAATGGATGTTTCTGGGTGGGTCCTTATTCCCTGCAGTGGCCTTTTATTGCAAATTCAGGCTCTACCACTTCGAGGGGGAAATATAACAAGGGGCCTCCCTGGGTGGGGGAAATAGTCAGGAGAAAGACAGTAATCACCAAGATGCTGGTGTTATGCCTGATGGGGAGGGCACTGGGGTGACTTGGGGATTCTGTATGTACATGTGGGTACCGAGTGGGAGTCACGACGTCTTTCCGAGAGTTAACACATCTGGGGTGCTTGTGCCTTCTTGCCGGGCCAAGCGCCTTTGCACTCGGTTGCAGCAGTGATGAAAAGCATTCAATGTCTCCTGTGTTTTCTCCCTCTCATGAAACGTGCAGCGGAGCTTGGGGAGTGTGAGCTTCCAGAACACACACCAGAGCTTGTGTCTGAGTTTCGGTTCATTCCAAATCAGACAGAAGCAATGGAATTTGATATCTTCCAGAGATGGAAAGAGTGCAGGTACCTTGATGCATTTATTTTGGGGGATGTAAGCATTTGTAAGATGCTTTTATCTACTGTAAAATTGCAGCCCCAGCGCTTCACCTCTCTCCTGGGCTCCCATCTCGTTTACCCGAAGGCCCACACGACGTCTCTCTTTCCAGAGATGTATATACAGTAGAAACCAAAGCACACTCCCGTTTCTCTCTGAATTATACAGCCTGGTCCTGATCTGCTCCTTGCTCCCAGGTTCGCCTCCCAAAGAAAGCCAGGAGGTGCTGCCTTGATACAGCCCGCAGGCCTGGGTCTCTGTCCATGGTCTGAACTGAAGAGTAGCCCTTCAGAGGGACACTCATGTTTGAGACCACGGGTTGTGCAGCCTTGTATTCTAGAACACGTGGTCACTGCAGCTAAAACCAATCCTGCCATTTCTCTCTGGGCTTTTTCCTCCTTCCCCCCCAACAGACACCCAAGTCTGGCGCTTCTGTGCCTGGACTGCCCGTGGGGCTTCCACTCACAGGTGCCCCAGGCTTGAGCCCCTCTTCCTGCCCAGCCCATCTTCCTCACACTCTGCCATTCCAAGTCCTTCTTAGACTCAGAAACTTAGCGTGGTTTCCTGTTGTCCCTCAGTCATTCTGGAGGACGCGTGCCTTTTTGGAACATGGAGGGTGACGTTAGCACGTGCTTGTATCACATAGAAATGTGTGGTTGTAGGGTCATCTGTACCCCTGCACCCCCCCCCCCCCCCCCCCCGCTCCCTGCAGCGGCCCTCGTTAGCCGACAGATACACACACACCAAAAAAGTGTCCCCTGAGTCACATTATAAACCCTGCTCTGTCATCTTCCTAGTCAGGTAACGGTCTGTTCTGGAGGTAGGTGAATAAAAATGGGTGTCCCTCGTTCCTTTAATCGCTGCATAAAATCCCTTTGTGTGTGGCTGTGCCTTTCAGAATGTGGGTGCACGAGTTGCAGTTTACATGTGTTTCCATTGGTTTTTCTAAGGGGAAAGAGCCCTGCCCAGGCGGAACTCTCCTATCTGAATAAAGCGAAGTGGCTGGAAATGTACGGGGTAGACATGCACGTTGTCAGGGTAAGAACTGGGTGCCTTGAAGTCACGGGGTCCCGCTGTGCCCGAGCAAAGTGTAAGCGATGTGCACACCAAGTGACGTGGTGAGCGAACTGTTTTGCATTCTGCTCTGTGACGACCTATTAGAACCTTCTACCGACTGTCACTTCATTTGTTTGTAGGGAAGAGATGGCTGTGAATATTCTCTTGGACTGACCCCGACAGGCATATTAATCTTTGAAGGAGCTAACAAAATAGGCTTATTCTTTTGGTAATTTAGTTTTGTCTAATATTAAAAATGTCTTTTCCTATTCTGTGGTGGAATTTTATGTGATGGATGATTATTGAGCAGTATTTGCAACACTCTGATTCATTTTAAAAACACACCATTCTCTCATCTATGTGGGTGTGTGGCAATGGCAATGAAGCTTCTGGATAATCACCCTTAAATGAACGAATGATTTCTTAGCAAATCCAAGCTTTAAAAAGTAGAGAGGAAACTGCTGTTTGATGTGTCCTTTTCCTGCAGACTGGACTTTTACAATGTTTTCTCTCTGACCAGGCCTAAAATTACCAAAATGGATTTCAAGAAGAGCAAATTGACACTGGTGGTGGTGGAGGACGATGACCAGGTAGGTAATCCTTGCTCTGGCGGTCCCCCGCCTCACCGAGCGTGGTCCTCCGTCCGTGCCCCGTGCGCCCACTGACACGGGAACCTCGTGCTTCCCCACACAGGGCCGGGAGCAGGAGCACACCTTCGTGTTCCGCTTGGACAGCGCCCGGACCTGCAAGCACCTGTGGAAGTGCGCCGTGGAGCATCACGCGTTCTTCCGGCTGCGGACGCCAGGAAACAGCAAGTCCAATAGATCAGACTTCATCAGGCTGGGGTCTCGCTTCAGATTCAGGTAGGCGCCTTTTTTTTTTTTTTACAACACGATCGCTTGTTTTGAAAGAGGCAGTAGTGCTCCTTTTTGTGCGGGGAGCCATAGATCCCCAGGCCAGGGACACGGAGGGTGGACGTCCTGCCCCTGCTTCCTTGAGACCTGACCTGTGTGTAGCCGGGTCCCCAAAGCTCCTTCAGCCTCTGTTCTCATTGGTGCGGCAGGGATAATAATAACAAAGGTATTACTAGCTGGCATTTAGCTTTAGCTAGACTGTCCGATACAGTAAGCACTGGCCACGTGGGGCTCTTTAGGCTCATTCATAGTAAAGGAATTTTAAGATGTAGTTTCTTGGTCTCACTAACCACGTTTCAGGTGCCCGGGGCACACAGGCAGGTGGCGAGCACCTTGGGCAGCCGCAGCCGTAGCATGTAAGCAGCACCGCACTGCACCAGGGCTTCCCAGGTGCCAACGCATGGTCCTCCTGGCAGCCTTCAGAAGACGAGTCCTCTGGTTGTCCCCATTTCACAGATAAGGAGACTAAGGCCAGGGGGTTACAAAATCTGCCCAGCGTCACAGACGGTTAGTGGTGCAGCCAAAATTCAACCCCACGCTATCTGGGTTTTAACATTTTAACTACTCCTCTGTTGCCTTTCACATACTGACATCGAGAAATCCGGTGACATTTAAGAATGAGAGCAGAACTTGGGGGACTCAAGATGGAAACTAGGAGCTGCTCTCCTGAGTGAGAGGGGCTTGGACTCAGAATGTAACTAGGGGCTGTGCTCCGGAGTGAGAGCGCCTGGGTGAGAGCTTGGAAAAGACTGGCTCCAAGAAATGAAGGGCCCCCGTTTGGCCAGGTGAAGAAGACAGCCACATGCTTTTGGTGGAGTGCGGACTCCTGCAGCTTTGGTAGAAGAGGCCCACGCGGCTTTGGGGTGCCCCCTTTGGCTGCGGGGCCTGAAAAAGCAAGAGAGACTTTGACTGGAACTGGGTACAAAGGACTCTTGCCAGTGGACCATGAGAGGGTACCACGGTACTTTGGATTAACTCGAGATCCTGCACAGTGACACAGCTGATGGCACCAGCGGCCTGAAAAAGGGACGTGTGCTCTTTTCCTGATTTACGGTACCCGGAGTTGGGACAGTGGGAGAAGGGAACGCTGTGTGGGTGTAGGTGTACACCCTAAAGGACTTTGATATTTTAGTGGAGGCATTAGGCCTGAATAGCATTAAATAAACATTTTGTTTCCTTTTCACAAAAAAAAAAAAAAAAAAAAAGAATGAGAGCAGAGGTCAACATGTGTGTGAGTGACCCAGGGTAGGCTCAGTAAATACTTAAATCTGAAAAGACCCTGAAAAAATAGAGAATTTGTTCTGCTATGTTTTTTCATATGAGTGTGAGGCCATGTCTCTCAATGTGCATGAACACTCCCTGGGTATTTGTTAAAAATGAGGATTTATGACCTCATCTACAACCTTCGTCATCGGAATCTGTGGGTGCCCACCTATGCATGTATGAATAAGGCCCGGGCATGTACCTTTGGAGTGCACTTCCAAGATTGATTTCTGAGGCACGTTTACAGATCTGAGAACAGCGCTTACCAGATCTAAGACTTCACATGTTTCATAACCTCTACCCACACACGGCATGTCCTTGAACTTTGTTTAAAGTGCCGAAAGATCTCATTTCAAATTTATCTACTGTGCAAGGGAATGGCTGTGCACTTGTGTTTAAAGAATTGTTTTGTCTGAATATATTTTTAAATGCTGCAAGGCGAGGGGAACAAAACCAGTTCCTTTCTGAGAATCGACTCCCAGGGTTCCGTGGAGGATGGAGGATGTCAGAACGACAGAGGTTAACGGAGACATCGCATGGTGGGCTGATGTGTGCTCAGAGTCACAGTGAGGAAGGAAGGCCTGTGGGGGTGGAAGCCAAGGCACGATTTTCCATCCTGGGAGGCAGCTCCCCCAGGATTTGGCCCGGAACAGGCTCCCTTCTTCTCTTTGAGGAGAAGCTGAGAAAGAAAGGGGAGTTTAGGGATGAAGTTGCCCCTTGGAGGCTCTTAGGGCAGGTGGCAAATGGCTCCTTCCTTGTGACAAATCTGAAACTGAGAGTGGCTGGAGCGAAGCAGTGACCGTCAGCGAAAAGCTGCATGCCTGCTGGAAGCGGGGCAGCACTTGGGTTGGACGCCTTGGTGAGAGCAGCAGTGTGTTGCCCTTAGCAGGGCGAGCGAAGCCAAGGTTCAGCGTCCGTGGTCATTGATAACAGCCTTTTAAAAGATTTAAATGTCTGTGCAATTTGTTTTATGAGAGGTTATTATATGTGTGAATTGGTGCTCTCTCAGTCAAATGTTCCAAGTACTTGAACCCGCTTCATCTGTGCAGCCAAGTAGCTAGTACCGAAATTGTAGGTTTTGTCCTCTGGTGGCAATACTTGCCTCTGTCGTACAGCCTGGGCTTGGCAAAGGTGATTTTATTTCCAAATGGGAGGCGAAATTCAGTGTGTTCTTTACCAAATGAGTCACCGGAGGTTGAAGCCGACATCAGAACGCTTGGAAATAAAAGCGCACTTTCAACTATGTGTAACGAGCTGATATCCTCCTATTGGTAACACGCAGTAAAATATTTACTTTCCAGCGGGCGGACGGAATATCAGGCTACACATGGGTCCCGGCTACGAAGAACCAGCACCTTTGAGAGGAAGCCCAGTAAACGCTATCCGTCCCGGAGACACGCGACATTCAAAGGTGGTGTGTTTTTTATTCTGCCTTGGAAGTTCACATTGTGGTTTAGTTCGTTAGCCCCTGAGGAGCTGGGTAAAGCAGATATTGTAGGAACTCCCTACTGTTTGGCTCTGTCATTCTGAAGCCTTTTATTTTTAAAAAATTTATTTTTAATTGTAGTGACATGTAATACTATATTAGGTAAAAGCAGACGTTGAAGGAACTTCCTACTGTTTGGCTCTGTCATTCTGAAGCTTTTTATTTAATTTTTTTTTCTTTTCTTTTTTTAAAGATTTTATTTATTTATCTTTAAAGGGGAAGGGAAGGAGAGAGGGAGAGAAATGTCAATGTATGGTTGCCTCTCATGTGTCCCCTTCTGGGAACTGGCCTGCAACCCAGGCATGTGCCCTGACTGGGAATCAAGCTGCGATCCTTTGGTTCGCAGGCCTGCACTCAATCCACTGAGCTACACCAGCCAGGGCTATTTCAATTATAGTGACACGTAATGCTCTGTTAGTGTCAGGTGATTGGGCTGGCACTGATACCTTCCCCTTCTAGAACCTTTAACCCACTGCTTCCTTCCTTTCTGGACCAAAAGCACAATAGTCTGGCATCCAGAAATTTTCTAAAATTGTCCTCAGCTGCTTTAGTGGAGAGAAAAAACATGGCCAGATCCCAGGAAATGTTGACCTCACCTTCAAGAAAAACCGAAGGATGACAGATGAGACACTCGCAGAGAGGGGTGCCAGGCAGGGAAGGGTCACTGATTGCAGGGACAGTGACCGAGGGAAGGGGTGGGCATGGGGGGGCACTCCCTCTGTCCCAAGGGCTCTGTTACCTCCTTGACGAGTGTCGTGCTTGTTCCTGCAGTCCATGGGGTCAAAGTTGAGCAGAAACACCTCAGGATGAGGAGGAACTTTCGGGTGTGGCTGTCCAAAGATCCTGCTATCTCAAGATAGCAGTGAGCTCCCAGCCCCCACAAGGAGTGTGCGGGCCCAGAGGGAAAGACCCCAGACCCCTTGCTGTGGCTGCCTCCCCGGGGAGGGGGCAGCCTCGTGCTCGACCCTGTGCAATGGCTTCAGGGCTCGTCCAGGCTCCAGGTTCTGTGTTTCTCTTCCCCTTTCTTTCCTGGTCTCCATCCTCTTTTCCTCCTGTATTTTACTGACATTTTCTGCAGCCAGAGTTCTGGCATCCTTGTGAAGCTTTTAATGGTTCTCCGTGCTGCATCCTTTTTAAAATGAGGTGGAGTCTAGATAAATGAGCTTCTCGGGCCCCTTCCACAGACTCACACGCTGCCCCCATCGGCAGGGACTGCTCTGAGCTCCCCAGGAGGTTCAACTGTGTATTTAGTCTTTAGCACCATATACCTCCCTGCTTCTGTCTGTGTCAAGCCTGGGGGCTCCTTGACAGTGAGCTCTGTGCCTGTCATGTCTACTGCATCCCACAGCCCTGGGCCCTGGGACCGGGCTCAGTGAGCCTGGACCAAGAGACTCTTAGGGCAGGGCCCAGAGGAAAGGCCCTTTGCTTTTTCTCCAGGAAGGAGAAACTGCCGGGGGAAAGAGGCTGCCTCCTGGCGTGGAGGCTGCTCTCAGATCCCAGAGATCTCTTCTGCATGGTAAAAGTGATAAAGCTGTCTAAGATGTCATGCCTGTTTTTCCTTTTGTTTTGTTTTTAAAGCAAGCAACCCGGTGATAGCCGCTCAGCTCTGGTAAGTGCCCCCAGGCTCTGGGGTACAACTCTTTTCTCTATTATATTTACTTTCAATATTGACTTTTCCCTTGATACAATTAAATCACCGAGTGAGTCTGCGGATCGTTTTCTTTCTTTTTCCTTTTCTGCTGCCTGGCTATACCATCCCCCTGGCTTTCACTAAGTACACAGTAGAATGTTCCAAGACAATTTATTTATTTTTTTTTGAAAACACAGCTGCCTTGTTTGAGTAGCTCTGTGCTTTGTTTATTATACCGGTGGGTGATAAAGGTGTTAGGAATGTGAGCAGCACACCGAGCTCGTGGCATTGTGGGCGGCAATGGGGGAGGGAGGCAGTGTGGTGCTCAGGAGCAGGCGCTAGGTCAGCGCAGATGCCAGGGTGCACTCGGTGGTGGGCAACGACCATGCCATGTAGAAGACCGTTAGTAAACACTTTCATTGGAACGCCTGCAGGAGGCAGGAGAAAGCTTGTCCCACGACCAAAACTGGAGCACAAGAAGTCAGCCAACTTTTTCTGTAAAGTGCCAGATAGTCAATATTTTTTACTTCGCAGGCTGTGCTGTCCCTTCCACAAGCACCCAGCTTTGTCGCTGGAGCACGAAAGCCACCGTAGACAACTTGTAAATGAAGGACCACGGCTGTGTGCCGAGGAGACTTGACTCACCACTGCAAGCAGGCCAGGTTTGGCCCATGCGGAGTGGTTCGCCGGGCCCCTCCCTAGCACAGGTGTTCTTGACCTTTTCTATACATTGGAATCACCTGGTCAGCTTTGACACATTCCCCATCAGCCAGGCCACAGCCCAGGCTAAGGGACAGTCTCTGAGGAAGGAACCCAGGCACCTGTGGTTTTGAAAGCTCCCGGGAGATTCTAGAGTGGGGCCCAAGTGGGAACCACCACCTTACCTAGCATGCGCCTCTTTTCCTCCCTCTGAAACTGTTCCTTCAGCTGGGTTTTGACTTGTTAGGTGGACAGCTGGTAGAGAATCACAGAATGTAGCTGTTTCAACCCCCGCATCCAGGCCCCAGCGAGTGAGCAGCTGCCCGGTTAGTTATCCTCTCAGCCGTCAGAGGCGCAGGCCTCAGTCTGCTCGGGAGGGAGGGTGGCCTTTGAGGCCAGCACATTTCGGCTGTGCCAGGCATGCTGGGTGGTCGACCAAGCACGTGGTAGAGCCAGTAGCCAACGCCCTGGTTGGTAGTGAGATCCCTGACCGAGAGATCAGGGAGGCCTCCATCTTTCTCATTTGAAAACAGGGAGGTTGGGCTAGATAGTGTTTCTTTGTTTGTTTTTCCAAACTTTTCTGGCCTCTGATTTTCAGCCACTGCCCCCAGTTGTAACCTGACAGAGGAAAGTGGCCCTCCTGGGCATGAAGCTGAGCAGGGAAGGTGGGGCCAGTGCCTGCTGATCGCTGCACCCCACCCCCAGATAGCCCCCAAGGCTCTAGATCCCCAAGGTTCTAGAAAACATAACTGACCCTTATATCACTCATCCGGGAACCCAGCCTCGAGTCTCGGGTTTCAGACTCTCTGCAGGACCATTCTGCTGTGGTCAAGCCTCGGACTCTGTGACTTGGTTCGGCTCTCAGCACCTGCGGACGGGGCTGAAAGGTCCTGTCGAACTGCTGCGCCTCACGCCTGCCCACCGCCCCCTCCGCCCCGCAGGGAGGGGAGGTTGCAGGGCTCCCGCGTGGGTTAGCTTTAGGCCTTCCGGCTTGTCCCACTTTTAGCATCCCTGTGCCAGGTAGTATGCTCACAGTATTTTCTCCTTTCTCTGCCTGTCAGCGAGTCTTGCTTTTGATTCTCAGCGGTTTGTGAGTTACAGCATTTCTTTCCTTTGCTAAGGAAGTGATTATGTTGTTTGTTTGCTTTTCCCTAATGAAATTACATTTTCCACTTAGCGTCTAGTGGAGATTATATATTGGGAACCAAAACAAACTAAAAAAAAAATCTCCAAAAAAAAAATTAAAACCCCAAGTAAATACACCCTTTAGGCACAAACGAGCTAATAACCACTGTCCGCAGCTGTTGCATTGTTCTCCGCAGCTTGTGGCATCTGGGGTGGCTAGGATTGCTGTGGGGGCCGGGAGGAGGGAGGAAGCCATGCTCCGGCTGCAGAGGCGACACCAGAAAATAGCACCGTGCAGAACGCCGCCCCTTCCCCTGCAGCCTGAGGTGCATCTGGCCCAGAGCCTGGCTCTGCGCACCGGCCCTCCCCGAAAACTGGAGCACAGCGTTGTTTAGACCCCAAGCAATTTCCCTCTCATTGTGGGAGAAGCAGTAGAGCTTGACTTCAAGCACGCGACCCTAGCGACACAGCCCACTGATGGTGCCGTGTTTGAGGTTTTCCTAGCAGATGCCAAGCTTGCCTATTAAATATACACAGTATGTTTTACACCAGCCTTTGCTGTTCATCCTTTTCACTAGAGCAGTTATACCTAAGAGTCCAACAAATAGGATTATGCATGAGGAGCCTGGAACCTTCTTGGCTTAGTGGAAACAATACAGGCTTTAGGATGGAGCAGACATTCATTCCAGACCCAGCTCTGCCTGTGATTAGCCAGCAGATCCTGAGCAGGTTTCCTGACTTCTGTGTTAGGCAGTCATTTCTTTATCTATAAAATGAGGCGGTGACATTTATCAATCTCAGAGCCCTGTTGTGTGGATTATAAGAACAGCAGATGTGAAGTTCCCAGTACAGAGCCTTATATGGAACGAACATTCCAGGGTGGTAGCCAGCGCCTGGCTTCCTTGTTCTTGGCAGTGGGGCCCACAGAGTCAGGTGCTCAGAAGTGGCTGGTGGCTTTCCCTCCAGCTGCAGAAAAGTCTGGGCATCCGTGGAGCTGCCTGGCAGCATGGGCCACCCGGCAGGGCAGGGCAGATCTGGAATGGGAGCTAACATGACTGAGTTTGCCTGATTGGAAGGACCTCCTTTTTGCCACCAAGACGTGATGTGCCAGCCAGGACTCTGGAGCATTACCCACTTGTTAGTATTTGTGAGCTCTGAAGGAAAGCTGCTTTTGGTTTCTCTAGGTGTATGTTCATTTAAGCAGCTAATAACCAAAAAGAAAGAGTGTCCGTGAAAGTTCCTAAAAGAGTGGATAGGGCTTAGAATTAGTTTATGATGGTTAAATATGGGCATACCTCATTTTATTGTGCTTCACAGATGTTGCGGGGGGGGTTGTTTTTTTACAAATTGAAGGCAAGACCCTCTGTCAGCAAGATGATCATGACCCCCTTTATTGTGAGACTCGCTTTGTTGTGGTCTGGAACCGAACCCGCACTATCTCCGAGGTGTGCCAGTGACTCAGGGATGATGCCGCTGTACGATCTATCACTTTATCATTTTTCTTTTCTTTCCTTTAGCTCTAAAACAAATCCTGAAGTCCATAATTACCAGGTAAGATCTTGCTTTTAAAGGTTTTCATGTAATGCTTCTTAAAGTTTCCAAACTTTCCACACTGAGCAGTCATTATGTTTATAATGGGATTTTAAAGAAATAATAATATGAGGTTTTTTTTTAAAGATTTTACTCACTTTTAGAGAGAGAGGAGGTGAAGGAGAGTGGGAGAGAAACATCAATGTGTGGTTGTCTCCTGCACGCCCCCTACTGGGGACCTGGCCTGTAACCCAGGCACGTGCCCTGACTGGGAATCAAACCTGCAACCTTTTGGTTTGCAGGCCGGCACTCAATCCACTGATCCACACCAGCCCGGGGGATAATGACATGGTTGGTTGTTTTGTTTTGTTTTGTTTTGTTTTGTTTTGTTTTGTTTTGTTTTTGAGAATATAGTAAGAGGAGCATCCTTCCCCGGACCTGTGGTTCCTCTTAGTCACATGAGCTGCCTATTTTTCTTTACCTTGTCAGCTGGCAAGCAGCAGGGACATGTGTTTTAAGTTTCTGGGTGGTCAAACAGCCTTCTGGGGCACTCACGTGAGGCCGCTTCTTGTCTAAGCGTGTCCCAGGCCCAGGGAACGTGAGTCCCTTGAGCTGTGCCTCCAGGAAAGGATGCCTTGACCACTCGTTTGGGGAATGTTGCGCCCTTCATTTCCCTTTTCGGATCTTACAGCTTGCACCGGGGTGTCCAGCGTATGGAGAAATCCTGCAAGAAAGACGTATTTTTTTTTAAGCCAGTATTTCCCAAGATCATTTGATTATTGGACACTTCCCCAGTTAAAAAAACTAGCCTTTCACCCCCCCCCCCTTTTTTTTGTGGTGCACCATTCACATCAGTGCAGTGGAGGTTTCTAGAACCTACTTTGTAACCCACTGTGCTGGGCCTGTTGCCTGTAGCAGAGTCACAGATGGGTTTCCGTAGCTGGCGTCCTGCTCTTTCCCATGGTGGCCAGCAGGGCCCGCAGCCCCCTGCCTGCCTACCCCCTACTCCCTGTGGGCAGCTCTTGTTGGCTGTTCGGTCTTCTACAACCTGGCCGGGACGTACTTTCCTCCACGTATTTCTCGCTGCTGCCTGTGATACCACGCATGCTCCGCTCCCAGAGAATGACACCATTGTTGCCCCATAATTTCCTCCCACCGGTCCATCTGCCTGCAAGTCCTTGGTCTCCAGTCTGTGCAGAGCCTCCCTCAGAAGCCACCTCATCCCCAGAGCCTCTCGGCTCCCCTTGATTGGAAGGCACCAACACCAATGGTTCTGAGCCCTGCTGCACCATCTGGCGAGCTGCAGACCAATAGATAACCACTGCTTGGGCCTCACCCTGGGCTGGTTGAGTCAGGAGCTGAGGGGTGGGATCTGGGCATGAGGGAGCCTCGGAGCTCCCAAGGTGGTTCTCGCAAGCAGCCTGGTGGGGGGACCCTGGGTCAGTGAGGTATCCCTCACATCCTGGGTTGTCATTTGTTTGGGCTCAGAGGCAGCATCCACGTCTGATGACCTCCTAACTCGGGATCAGCTTTCCTGTCCTGGGTGGTGTGGATGTCTAAAGGGACATGACTCCTAGGTTTCTCTGCCCTGTCACCAGTCCGGTTTTGAATGTCACAAGTAATGAAGTTAATTCGTAATGAGTCCCATTGAAGCCTTATTCTGACCAGTCTCGTTTTTGATCTTCCGTTGCTGTGGATATTATTAATTCCTGAGGTGGGGGTGCAATCTTATGTACATTATGTTTACGAGACCTCCAAATTATGTTCTGGAAAGAATTGGTGATAGCGCCCTCTGGATGTGAAATTGTGTGCCCGATGTGCAGAACCTGGGGCGTGATGTCTAAGTTTTAGGGAATAACCCCTAAAAGGTGCTTTGTACCTGCCAGGGGACAGGCCAGGTTTCCTGATCTCCTTGCCTTCTTTAGGTTCTTGAATCTTCTTATTCCCACTGGGTTTTTGTCTGTTTTTGAAGGATTGTCAGGTGCAAGTGGCTGGAAGGTTGTGGGGGAAGGAAAGAGGTATCTGTGGGTGATTACTGTTTGAAGGATGGAAAAAAAACTAAGTGAAGCAAAGCAGCCCCAGCTCAGGGCTACCTGCCCTCTTCCCCCGGCCCCCTGAGTGCTCTCTACTCAGAGCGACCCGGAAGGCATTTGTTGGTGGACATCAGACCTACAAAACCTCTTCCCTGCATGTCGTTGTCCCCCACATGTTTGGCAACCACTGGTCCTCTGCACCTGGCTGGTCTTCCAGGTTCTATGTTGCTCTGTCACTGTTGGGAGATCAGTTGACCAGGAAGAGGACGTGCTGAGAGGTGTGGCCCGATAAGCATCTGGATGCTGAGCTAGGGTTCAGGAGGACAGGGTAGAATTGCAGCATTTATCTGATTCTGAGCTCACAGCAAGGTTAGCCGGCTGCAGAGGGTGGATTGCTGTGTCCCCAATGCAGATGCTGTTGGCATTGGAAGAGGGACATTTCTTCCTTGTTTGGGACTCTCCATAGAGTCACCAGATGTTTAGCTTCCCTCTCCTGTGTCTAATAGGTAAAGGTAACCCTCCCATCACTGTGACAAGCAAAAGTGCTCACATATATTTCCAGTGATCCTTTGGGGGGACAGAACTGGCCTGATTGAGAACTGTGTGGATTAACAACAACAACAAAATACTCCTGGACAGCTTTTGGGTGTGCATAAATTAGCAAAGGCCACCAAGGAAGGTTCTGGAGTACCCTTCCTCTAGATGGTTATGGTTGGGGTCCCCACCCTGTCTCCCATGAATCTGACCTGGCCCTGTCTGGAGACAGGGAATAGGAGGTCCATTTCTAGTCTCAGTTATTCTCTTTTGTTGAAGCCCCAAGTGATGCAGCCTCGCCTGGGGCCACAACAGTTTGGGCAAATCATCTGTACTCCCTGGGTCCCCTCAGGAAGGGAAATGTGGAAAGACTGCATCAGGGCGATTCTAAAGCCTTGGTCAGCTCTCCGATTCTGCTCCCAAGGGCTTTTCTCCTGCAGCGTGTCCGCTTGGGGGCTGCAGACTGAGCCTGCTGACAGGCATCTTGGAAAGAGAGAGGCCTCTGGCATACAGAATAGGCAGGGAGGGCATCTGAGGTCCATGAAGATTGAACGAGCAGAATTGCTGAGAATTTTCCATAACAGAGAGCAGCTTTCTGCTTATTAACCAAAGCAGCAGGAAAGGGAGTCGGAGGGGAAGAAATAATTAAAAGAGTGATGGTGGTGGCAAGACTGGGTTGCCTTAAATGTCAGGAGGGCCTCATTTGCCAGGTAGAAAGTTGTAGCCTGAAGAAGCCCAGAGGCATCTGACTGGGTCCGGGGCCACTGCCCTCTGCAGGCCTGTGGTGGAAATGCACCTGCCACCCAGCCAGCCCCGTCTCATCTTTCCCCTGCGTCATTTTGTGAGTCGCCAGTCTGGATCTGTTTTCTCATCTTAAAAGGCACACATTTCTTCCTTCCCTTTTGTCAAGATAAATAAGTGCTCTGGATGATTTGGGGGGATGGTATTTTTATCAGACTTTAGGAAATTACTTTTCTGTTCAAACAAGGGAGAAAGAGCACATGCTGCCACAACCCTTGGGTGCCCCCGTCCAGTCCTCGTCTGTGTCGGGGCAGACGTAACTGTTACCCATGGCTGTCGTCACTTTCAGCAATGACAGACATTGTTTCTGAACATTGCCGACCATTCTCCCCGTCTTCCTGGCACTTTCCGTCCGTTCCCTCGGGAGAGGTGATTATATTGCCACGCCTGGGCATTCCAGGGGGGCCCTTTCAGTAGCTGGTGCATTCACCTTTCTTCTACAGCAGCTTCCCAAGCCCCCAGCCTTTGTCTGGGGGAAAGGAGATCATCCTGGGAAACAAACGTCCCTCCCCCCACTCTGGGCCCTGGCCAGGGTTTAGTTATAGCCTTTCCCATTCACAGCCCCTCAGGTGCATGCCAGTAGAAGAGAAAGTGAATGAAGACCATTGAAATCAGAAGGTCATGGAATGACCATGTTTGGTGTTTTATTTCTAGCCTCAGTATCATCCCAACATCCACCCCAGCCAGCCCCGGTGGCACCCTCACTCTCCGAATGTAAGGTAAGTGCCTGGCCGTTCACAAGTTCTTGTGTCTGGGAAAGTGCAGATTCTACTTAGTCATGACTTTCAGGTCCGCAGCAGCAGCCGCTGTTAGGGCCGCCTCGTCACGGCGGAGATTAATTCTGTTGCAAAGCAGAAGAAGCCAGTAGACGGTCTGGATTTGCTAAAGACACACATTTAGGACATCACATGAATTGGGTATTGTTTTGTTTTGTTTTTCAAGTCATTCAACCTCAGATAGTTTTGAGTTGGTTCTGTGTTGGAAATGTTACTTAAAATTTCTGAGTCACCTGTTCCTGTCCTGAGAATTCTTTCACTAAGAATGTGACTAGAGCTTGGGGACTTTTGTTGTGGGTTCTTGGACAGGATTTTTTTTTTCAGGGATGGAGTGAGGGTTTGCTTTTTGTGACAATGGATCTTTTTTTCTTAAGCGCAGGGGTCAGCAACCTGTTTTTGCACGAAGGGCCAGATAGTCAATATTTTGGGCTTTGTGGGCTTTGTCACAACTACTCACCTCTGCCACTGGAGCCTGAGAGCAGCCGTAGACAATAGGAAGTGACTGAGTGTGGCTGGGTCCCGGTAGAACTTACTTACGGAAGTAGATGGTGGGCTCACCTCTGCCCTCACCGCCCACCACCCTCCCTAAGTAAACTCGTGCCTGCCTTGTGTGTGGTTAGGCTCCAGCGCGTTTTAGTGCGAGCTTTGCAAAGGCAGACCCTCCTTTCAAGATCAGCGTTCATTGGTGTTTATGTGTGAAGCTCTTTCAGAAACATAGCTGGTGAATTCCGTTTGCACAGTTATTTCTTGGTGAGGGAGCCTTGCTCTTTGCGAAAGCCCAGAGGGTGGAGTAAGGGAAATAAATCCGGTTAGAGCGAGGCAGATGGGAGCACTTGGTTCTCGACAGTTCCGACCACGACTGTGGGGGATCCTGCAGCACAGCTGATCCAGCACACACACTGGATGGAGCTTTCAAAAGCAAGTTAAACTGGTGGAGTAAATGAGTCGCCATGTTTCTGCATCGCAAAGGTGGTTTATTTTCCAGACCGAGAAACAGAAGAGATTTATAGAGATGCTATTGTTAATAACCTCATTGTGACACAGTTTTACACTTCTAACTGCCTAGCTTACCGTATTAATTTCCTCCGGAGGCATGACCTCGCTCAGCAGTTCACAACAAGAATCGTGAGGGAGGCTGGGACAGGGCTCCTGTTAGAGGGCCCGCGGGCCAGGCAGCAGCAGCAGCAGCAGCAGCAGCAGTATCAGTCACCTGGGGGCTTGTGAAGGCAGAGTCTCAGGCCCATCCAGACCTGGACCTGAGCTCTGCGGTGGGGCCCAGTGTTCTGCATTTTATCAGGCTCTCCAGAGTTAGAGCAGCGCTGTCTGAGATACCTGCTCCAGGGAAAGAGGGTGCATCGGCCCAACACTTTTGGTAAACGCTGCATAAGACTTTCACAGGTCGCATTTGCATAATAGCCCAGAGACACCCCCAGCACAGGCACCTTTTCACCATCACCTGGCTTTCCCCAGACCGACCTTGCAGGGACGATAGCACAGCCACAGACAGGGCTTTTCTCCACCTCGAAGGTGCCAGATGACCTGCACCTGCCTGTCCACAGTACAGTAGGCAGTCCATTCATTTCCGTGTGCAAGCCTTTCCCATGCACACTGGTCACCGGTTTCCCTGTCCACTGCCTTTGTGCTCATGTTGTTTCACTCACATTGCTGAATGTTCTTCCATTCCCCCACTAACCATTCACTCTGCAAACAAAACAGGCCATCCGTTCAGGATGACAGGCCGCCTTGGAAAGCGTCGGCCAGTGGAGATGACGGCCATTTCGATTATGTCCACAACCAGAACCAGAAGAACTTAGGAGGAGTGCAGAGTGTGATGTGTCCAGATAAACTCATGACCACGCTGTGAGAGACCGAGCACCTCCCTTCCACTCACCATCCCAGTCTCATTCCATTCCATGACACGTGTCTCGGCCTCACATGGATGTGTCTGTGAAAGCGTCTCTAAGGAATAGTTCGGGAAGGCGTTTTCTGTGTCCGTGTAAATGTCAGGAAACAATCACAGTAGCTAGTCGTAACTTACCGTTGACTGCATTCTCAATAAAATGAAGGTAGGTAAAGGCTCAGGAATCACTTCGATGTTCTGGTTTTAAAATTGGAGTAAAAGTCTGTGTTTATTGTGTTTCTGTTTATCTGATATTTCTTTGTTATTTAATGAATGGGACCAAACAAAACCAGAGAAGCACGGGAAGATAGCTCTGCAGAAAGTACCAGTAATATGGTGGGGCTGGAGAGGGCCGGGGTGCAGCCCCTGCCACCGCGTGATCTTAGACAAGCCATTCCCCTTCGTTGGCCTCATTTTCCTCATCTGAAAAGACTGGCTTGGACTGACCGATCCTCAGGTCCTTTCCAACTCTGAAATTCTGTGATTTGTCCGAATGTAATATTTTTAGGCTATCTCATAGGAAAACTGCAGTCCCCCCTCTCTAATAGAGGTTACCCCACCCGGAAGCTAAACAACGTGTGTTCACTTGTTAGATGTTACCTAGCGGCCAGGAGACTCCGAATTTCAGATCTTGACAGTGTAGCCACTTTGAATTCTAGAGATTTCACTAATCACAAATTGCATAGTGTCCATTCTGATAGGATTTGCCGCTTGAGTGCAAGAATAATCTTTTATTGTCTTAATGATTGGTGCTGCTAACTTGCATGATTTCAGAAGACGTGATTATGGATTTACACTGTCCACGTTTGTAGAATTCGAGGGTCGGTGTTCACCCGAGACTTCACTCTTTTAAAAAGCAACCTGCAGGCAGAGATGCATGTGGCTTCCATTGTTGCATACCAGGTTTTACAAAGGTGTGCCAAAGCGCTCTATAGACCAGCAGAGGACGGGTGTTGCGCAGTCTTACCGCGGAACCAGAAATGAACATGTTGCCCTTTAGGACAGAACTCACACCAAAATATTTATTTCCCCCCATTTCAAGGCACGAGTTAGATACTGTTTCTCTCTTAATAGATAGGCCTGAGATATTTTTTTGTTCATATTTTTGTGAAGTCACTTCCCGTGCCATTGTTATATATGGAATTGTAATTTGGCCCATTTCAAGCCTTTAAAAAACTGTATTGACATCTCTTGAGGTCTTTTATTGCTGAAGTCTGATCTTTTCTTGGGTGCCCCAAAAACCTATCCAGAAGGAGGGAATCAGCTGCCCACCCTGCATAGTGGAATCTGTGTCCCGTATAAACTCCCCAAAGAGATTTGTTTACAGTTACAACCCATTTTAGCCGATGTCCTGATGCCCACTGTATGTGCTGTGTACAAATACATGTGTTCTGAAGCTTTTAATCTTATTGATACGTTTTTACAAATGTGTTTCCAAGGAATAAAGATTATTCTTGCTTGTTTTGACTCCATCTTCATTTTGTGCTGCGCAGAAGTGTCATTCGTGGATGACGCAGGTGACGCGGCAGTGAGCGTCTGGGAGTCTGTTCGGTGTCGCGGAGCCAGCTCGTGCTAGGACGAGGCTGCTCTGGGGGAGAGGGGCTCTTCTTGTAGGCAGTGGCCGAGGCATGTCTCCCTCTGGCGAAGGTTCTGGCACCCGGGCACAGGTGGCCCTGGGGTTTCTCCTGTTGCAGCCCTCCAGTGAGGGTGGGTGTCCACAGCTGCTGTCCCTGGTGAAGCGCCGTCCACCCCGGTGTCTGTGGCCTCCTGCCGATCGCGTATTCTGTCTGACACTGTCCAATAAATGTCTGGCGCCCAAAGCAGCTTGAGTGGATTCTATTGCCTGCAACCAAGACAGATGAACCAGTTTGCATATTTGTGGCCTCCTCATTGTTGAACCACAGGTACACTGTGTATTCCTCAGCTTCGGGGACCTCTGTCCACTACCTGTGACCGCCGTGGTGACTCACTCACGGCTTCTGGAAACTCCATTCCCTCGGCCTCTACAGTAGCTGCTCCTGTAGCCCCCTGCCTTTTTCTTCCCTCTTTGGAACAGCCTCTGCCCCTGTCATCCTGCGAAACGTCGCTCTTTCCAGGAGTCCTTCCGCTGCCAACTGCTTTTCTCACTGTCACCGTCTACCTATGTCTTCTCGTCTGTCCTGATTTTGCAAAGCTCCTGGCTCTGAAGCCATTATCTCTCTCTCAGATTCCTGTGCGTCTCAGACTGACTTTCAACTTGTATATTCCATGTTCACCTCACACTGCACAGGTCAAAGATTAAAACCTCTCCTCTTTTACCCAAAGGGGGAAAGTACTGCCCCCAATTCTCTCTTTTCCATCTATGGATAGAATCTGTACACCATCAGCATCTCCCTTACCTCTTGCCACCCACTTCCGGGCAGTCTCCAGGTCTGCTTAACCCTCCTTCCTTCGTATTTGGGCAGCCCACCCTCTCTCCTTGCCACTGTCCTTGAAGCGGCCTCTTTTCTCTGGCTGAGAGCTGGCCCTCCTGATCTCCCTGACCCCAGCCTCTCCTCACAAGCTCGGTCTCCTCCCAGCCACCAGAGCGATCGTTCTGAAGCACCATCTGACTGTGTCATTCCGTTGCTTGCCACCCGCCAGGGTTCTCCCTCACCCTTGGGATGAAGTCCAAGGCTTTCTCTGTGGAATTCCCCTGCTCTCTGCTTCTGTCCCGTTGCCCTAGCTAGCATATTTTCTCGTTTCTCACCCTCCTGTTAAAACTCCTACAGCACCACACTGCTTGTGGTTCCTGACTTGCACCATTCCCTGCTGTCGCTCCCATCTGTGCATTGCAAATACTGCTCCGTCTGCCGAGAATGCCGCCACTGCCCTCCCCTTGGCCCAGCGTCTGCTCATCGCGTCAGTTTCCACTCAGCCTCGCCCTCCCCAGGCGCTCCGACTGCCCCAGCTCTGCCAGGCGGGTTAGTCTCTGCCTCCGTTCCACTGTCCTCCAGCTCCCATCTGCTTTCAGTGGTGCACACACTACTTTGTGTTAAAACGGCCTCTTGTCTTCACCTCCTCC